AATCTATTGTTTGATTAAAGATAAATATAATAGATTATACTCTAAATAATTTTAAATGCGAATATAACACACTAGTTGTTTTTAATGTTTTCGGAGTTCTTGAAAAATAACAGTGTTTATATTCTTCTTTCTTCTGACAATAAAACATTATTATAATTGTCATATGTAGATATCTGAAACGATGGTTACCATAGAATTGATAAAATTGTTATTAAGTGCTAGTCTAAAAATACTCATTGTTGCAAAGACTATTACAAGTAATAGCCTACCAGATGAAGCAATTCCTATAACTGAAGAGACATTATTGAAACTAATACACTATCACATCAATTTAACGATATACACGAATGAAAACTATTTAAATACAGATTTTTATACAGGAGAAGTAAAGACATATATTGATAATGAACGAGCAAAAGGCAATTTTATTTTTTATGGTGAATCTATTATGGATTTTTATCTTACAAATGGAGTAAATTATATAGAACTGAATACAAAAGGCCTAAAAGCATATTATACGGGAAGAATTTTTTTTGATTATGAAAATTTACACTTGAGTCAGAAAAAGATACATGGTTTATTTAATAATAAATCAGCTTTCATTACTCTTGATCATACTTTTACACGAGGGTGTGAATATTATTCTTATCATTTACTCATGAAATTTGTTGGTACAATAACTGATAACACAGGAGGCTTCTTCAAAATACCCTATGAGAACGACATAGGAGAAAAAAAGTGAGTAGTATAAATCTAAAAAATTAATAACATTTGCTAAATAAAATTGTTAATTGTTGTTATCTTGCATAAAATATGCACGTATTATTTTGCGTATATATTAATAACAATACAAATATAATAAACGTGTTGTAACATAAATATATAATATAAAATATTACTATCTATATTATATATTAAAAACCAGAAATGATGCAATAATTTATATAATGAAAAATGTGCTACATATGTATCACTCTCCAATTACTTCTTAGCCATGTTTTTCAACATTTTCCTTTAATATTTATATGCCGGAAATAATTGAAAACATAAGATATGATGTAAAAATACTTAAAATGTGACAGATGGATAATCGTAGCAGGAGATTTCCAAGGGATTGGAGCGCAACAAATATTTCCATCTTTGGACGAGTCAGCTCTTAGAGCCAACTTTACCATTTCCGTAACACATCAACCAAATTATATAGCTTTATCGAATGCAAAGATTACACGTACAGAAACACGTGAAAACAATGTCGCGATTACAACATACTTCGAAACAACTGATAAAATATCCCCTTATCAAGTAGCGATTGTATTGTCCGAACTTCCAAATTGTTTTGATTCTACGTGGCGCTGGCGGTGCAGACGATATGTGCAGCTCAAAGATATAAAATATGCACAGGACCTAGTTGAAAACTTCATACCATATTTAAGAACTGTATTTAAGAACTCAAAGCTTCCACGTAAAATAGATTATGTTGTAATTCCTGGTTTCAAAGACGAAGGCTTGGAAAGTTGGGGACTCGTTCTATATAGGTACCCAGCAAACGAGAATGGATTGAGAAATGAATTGCAATAATGAATTCAGATTTTCAGAAATATTGATTCACGAATGTTAAAATGAATGCTTTTCAATCCTGAATGCATTTTTATTTATTTAAAGGAATTGCATGGAGCATATTTCTATGCCTTTTAATCTAAAAATAATATTTGTTGCTTTTTCTGTGCATTGTGAATACCGTTCAATTCAAAATTTTGAATAAGAAATGCAGTTTTGCAATCCAATTGCATTTATTTAAATCTAATTGAATCCAATTAAATCTAATTAAATCCAAAAAAAGTATTCGCTATTTGAAATACGTATTCGGATAGAAAAAAATTTCAATCTATTTTACTCCATTCTTATTTGCTAAATATTATTTATATATACTAAAAAATAAAATTTTCATTTTAGAAAAATTTTGTTTTATTAAATTTTCTAGAATTGTAAAATTTAAAGAAGTGCTCATGTTATTATACTTTAGATCAATTCAGTTACATAAAAGTAAAAAAATATGGTTTGTTATTTATGTATTAACGCATATATAGAACAATGCATATTTACCGCACATCACCTACACCTCACATAAAAAAAATATGACTTTTTTAACATCAGATCAAAATAATTTCATTACTTATAATAAAAGAAAATCTTTGACTATTATTTTATTATTTTAGGGAATCACTTGTTCTTTACGATGAAAAATTAGATACTGCTGCGCGGAAATTTGAACTGGCACGTATGGTAGCACATAAAATGGTGTATCAATTCTTTGGCAATTTGATCAGCCAATCTAAGTGGTCTGATTTGTGGTTAAACGAGGGTATTGCTACGTTTTATGCAATGAAGTTTCTCAACAAGGTTGTTTCTTTATAAATATTTTTTACTAGCAAAAAAAACCCTAACTGATTGTAGAAAACTCGTATACACTATTCTTATTTTTTAAAACTACTAAATATTGACTTTCAATTTTTAATTTTAATGGGATCAGAATTATAAGTTGAGTTAGAAAATACTCATACATATATCCTGAAATTGAAATTTTATGTGTGTGTATATATATATATATATAT